CTGTGGTTATATACAAGCATGAGCTTCCCCCACTCCCACCCCAAATCAAGATATGCTTACTGAAATATTTAAGGGGTAGGGTGTGATGTCTGTAACTTAGTCTCAAGCAGTTCAGGGAAAATAATCGTATAGACAGATCAATAGAGAATAATAAAACAAATGTGATGAATTTAACATTTAAAGAGCCTGGATGAAAGATATATGAGAATTCTTTATACTATGCTTTCAGCAGCTTTTATGTAAATCAGAAATTATTTCATAACAGAATGTCTTTAAAAAGTGAAGGAAAACACAGCATTTCCAGGCAAACAAAAAGAGAAAAGTCATCACCAGCACACTGTACTGAAAGAAACACTAAAGGAGTTTTTAGGCAGAGAGAAAATAATCTTACATGGAAACATAGAAATGTAGGAAAGAATGAAGGACAAACAAAAGGACACATATCAATGAATATTGACTGTGTAAAATAAGCATGTCTTTCTTACGGATTTTAACATACATTATAATTGAAATGCATGCCAGTACACGAAAGGAGGGGTGGAGGGAAAGTGTTCTATGTGCGAGGACTTTGGGGGAACGGTAAAATTTCTCATTTATATCACACTATAGTAAGTAAAGGATATATTGTGATGTCTAGGGCATTGGTTCGCAAGTGTTTTAGTCTCAGGACCCCTTTCACTCTTAATTGAGGATCTACCATTAGGCAAACATCCAGTAATTATTGTTGCAGACAAGTTCCATTGATGGGTGCTCAAATGAGAAGATGAAAGTTTGAAGAGAAAGAGCGAAGTGTCTTTTCCAAGCTGTGTATTAACTATGAAAGAAAAGATAGTAACTTTGCAGTAGAGAAATCCATCAGCAACCACCTTGTACAAGGTAATAGAGGGAAAAACTGAATTAAAAAGAAGACAGGAGAGAAAAGAGAGCACTAAACAGGTCAAAAGGAAAACAAATTGTAATATGAAAGAGATAAACACCCAAATTTCAGCATTTATGTTAAATATAAATGGAGTAAATACTCCATTAAAAGTGGTTGGTCAAGATTAGATTTAAAAGACTTGCTGCTTGCATCAGACACAACTTTAGTATAAAGATATTTAAGGATTAAATGTCAAGTGATGGAAAAAGATATACCATGCAAACACTAACCACAAGAAACTCGGTACTAATACCAGACAAGGTGGTCTTAAAAGTAGAGTCAGAAGGCCAGGCGTGGTGGCTCACACCTGTAATCCCAGCACTTAGGGAGGCCCAGGTGAGTGAATCACCTGAGGTCAGGAGTTCAAGACCAGCCTGGCCAACATGGCAAAACCCTGTCTCTATGCAGTGTTGCATGCCTGTAATCCCAGCTATTCGGGAGTCTGAGGCAGGAGAATCGCTTGAACCTGGGAGACGAAGGTTGCGGTGAGTGGAGATCGCACCACTGCACTCTAGCCTGGGCAACAGGGCAAGACCACATCTCAAAACAAAGAAACAAACAAACAAAAGTAGAGTCAGAGATAGAAAAATTTCAGAATAATAAAATGGTCAATCACCAACAAGATGAACATTTCAAAATACTTACACACCTAATAAACATAACTTCAATATACGTAGAGCAAACCCGGACAGACCTGGAAGGAGGACTGGACAAATCTATCCTCATGGGGCGTTTCAAAACTTCTCTGTCCATGTTTGATAGTACAAACAGACAGAGCAATCCAGATTCCAACAGCACAATGAACAAACTTGCCTTATTACGTAGAACGCTGTACTCACTGAAGACGATAAACAAACAAAAAGTGTTCAGTCTCATTCGCTGTCAGAGAAATGCAAATTGAAATCAGAATGTGCTATCCTTCACACCCACCAGAATGACTAAAATGGAAAAGACTGAGAACTCTGCTGCTGGGCGTGGGGCAGCCAGAGCTCTCCTGCTCTGCTGGTGGGAGTGTGAATTGCTGTGACCATTTTGGACATTGTTGGCAGTATCTGTTAAAGCTGAGAAGATGTGCACTCTATGATCGAGCATTTCCCCTCAAAAAGTATATCTAAGAATGTTGATAGCAGCATTATTCATAGATGGTCCAAAACTGGAAATAGATACATTCTTTTACTGTATAAGAATACAATACAACAATTTGAATGAACTGTGGCTACGTATAGCAACAAGGATGACTCTCGCAAGCATAATGTTGAACAAAAGGAGCCGTTTATCAAATAGTGCTTTCCGTATTATCCCACACATATAAAATTCAAAAGCAAGCACACTGAATCTGTGGTATTAGAAGTTAGGTGGTGACTGGGAGGAGATGAGGGATGTTGCTAGAGGCTGTTACTCTATTGTTTGGTCTGAGTGGTAGTTACATAAGTGTGTTCACTATGGGAAAATTCATTAAGCTATACACTTAAAATGTGCATGCTTTTCTGTATATATTCAATGCCAACAAAAATTTACTTAAAATTATAATGAAGCTGTGCGTGGTGGCTCACGCCTGTAATCCCAACACTTTGGGAGGCCGAGGCAGATGGATCACGTGAGGCCAGGAGTTCGAGACCAGCCTGTCCAACATAGTGAAACCCCGTCTCTACAAAAATACAAAAATTAGGGCTGGTGGCACACTCCTGTAATCCCGCCTTCTCGGTAGGCTGAGGCACGAGAATTGCTTGAACCCGGGAGGCGGAGGTTGCAGTGAGCCGATATGGCACCAGCCTGAGTGACAGAGTGAGATTCTGTCTCAAAATAATAATAATAATAATGAGACAATTTTTTAACCTTTCAGAATGGCAAAGATAAAAAGCTTGATAGCATTATGTAGGCAAGGTTGAGGGAATGTGAGTGGGAAACAACCTGGAAGAAGGTTTGACAGGTCTTATTAAAATTAAAACTGCACGCATCTGAGTCTATTCCTAGGGATATAGTTACACGTGAACAAGTGGTATATTCAGGGTCCTTTATTATGGCTTTGTTTGTAGGAGTAAATGTTCAGTAGGGGATGTTAAATAAATTATAGTACATCCATACCAACCATATAGCCATTAAATAGAATGAGAGAGTTCTGTAGATGCTAATATGGAGTATCCTCCAAGATAACCTAATTAAAAATAGCAAAGTATAGAACAGCGTGTATAGCATGCCATCATTTGTATAAAAATGTACATACAGATGTACACACATATGTATACACACATGTGCTTTTTTTTTTTTTTTAAGAGATGGAGTCTCGGCCAGGCGCAGTGGCTCATGCCTGTAAGCCCAGCACTTTGGGAGGCCACGGTGGGTAGATTATGAGGTCAGGAGTTCCAAGACCAGCCTGGCCAAGATGGTGAAACCCTGTCTCTACTAAAAGTACGAAAAAATTAGCTGGGCATGGTGGTGGATGCCTGTAATCCCAGCTTCTTGGGAGGCTGAGGTAGAGAATTGCTTGAACCCAGCAGGCTAAGGTTGCAGTGAACCGAGATTGCACCACGGCGCTCCAGCCTGGGTGAAGAGCGAGACTCCTCTCAAAAAAAAAAAAAAAAGAGATGGAGTCTCACTATGTTGCCTAGATTTGAACTCCTGGACTCAAGTAATCCTCTTGCCTCATCCTCCCAAGCAGCTGGGATTATAGGTGTCCACCAGTGTGACCAGCTACATGTATGCTTTTTATATAAGAAACTTTAGCAGCAGTTGCCCCTGGAGGATGTAACAGGGTGGCAGGTGTGGGAAGGAGACTGACTTTTCACAGTAAGGTGGTCCCCCTTATCCATAGTTCTGCCTCTCACGGTTTCAGGTACCCGAGATCAACCAAAGTCTAAAAATGTTTAAATGGAAAATTCCAGAAATAAATGATTCATAAGTTGTAAATTGTGTGCCATTCTGAGTAGCTTGATGAAATCTCATGCTCTCCTACCTGGGATGTGGATCATCCCTTTGTCCAGCTTATCCATGCTGTGGACGCCTCCACCTGGCAGTCACTTAGTAGCCCTCACGGTGATCAGATCGATGGTCATGGTATCCAAGTGCTTGTGTTCAAGTAAGCTCTATGTTACTTAATACTGTCCCCATGTGCAAGAGTAGTGATGCTGGCAATTCAGATATGTCAAAGAGAAGCCGTAAAGTGCTTCCTTTAAGTGAAATGGAGAATGCTCTTGACTTAATAAGGAAAGAAAAAAAAATCATATGCTGAAGTTGCTAAAAATCTATTGTAAGAACAAATCTATCCATGAAATTGTGAAAGAGGAAAAAAAATGTGTGCCTAGAATGTATAGAATTTTGTATTATCTGCGGTTTCAGGCATTCACTGAGTGTCTTAGAATGAATCCCCCCACAGATAAGAGTGGGGTACTGTATACCCTTTTATATCTTTAGAACTTTATACAATACAAATATTTTTTTAAATATTAATTTTTAAAATAATTGTTAAAAATCCCTTAGAAAAGGTGTTCTCTCAGTAAGTCCAGTAGAGCCCACATTTTCCTTCACACTGAAACAGATCTTTGGTTTAATACCAGATGACATAGTCTGCATCGCATACGAGCGCCAAGCTGTGTGGGAGAAAAGAGCCTGTGACACAGTGCTCAGACTGCAAGGGTGTGTGGGAATGAGGTAATGAGGGCACAGCGGGTTCAAACATCCCATCTTGTGCTCACTGGAAGATGCAGCACTTGTGGAGTGAAATGGTGGGCCTGTCCCCACACCCACCGGGTGTAGTGTAATTTCCCTCTCTCTCCCCTGCTGAGCAAGTGTAAGCTGAATTCAGAGGGTAAGTTGAATTCAAGTCTTGAACCTCCTGGGCTGAAGCAATCCCCACCTCAGCCTCCCAAGTAGCTAGCACTACAGGTGTGCACCACCACGCCCAGCTAATTTTTGTAGGGTGGTTGTTGTTGTTATTGTTTGTAGAGATGGGAGTCTCACTGTGTTGCCCAGGCTGGTCTCAAACTCCTGAGCTCAAGCAGTCTGCCCGCCTTGGCCTCCCAAAGTGTTGGGATTACAGGTGTGAGCCACCGCGCCCGGCTGATGAACCGTCTTTCTGCATAAGTCTTTTACTACATTATTTTATTATTTCTTAGAAGCAAAAGAAGTCAAAGGTATGAACATTTTTAAAACTCTTGTGATAGAGTGCTGAAGCGTCTTCCAAAGTTTCTCAGTTGCTCTTCCACGGCACCCTCACTGGCATTGGCCATCCTCATGTTTAAAAGCAGTTTTTAATTTGAAGAAATCCAGTCTGAATAACTTTGCCAATACGTCTGAATGATAAGCTGAAAGTCAGAGATGTCAGTGTTACCTTTCAGCTTGAATGAGATTTGGAATATTCCACCCCCCGCCCCATGCTGTATAGAGTAGTGCTGAGGAGCCTGGGCCTGGGGTCTGAGCCCGGCCCTCCACCCTGCAGCAGAGAGAGCTCACATAGGCCAGTTCATGTCTGTGAGCCTCAGGCTCCTCCCCTGTAAATGGGGAGAATCAAGTGCCTACTTCTGGCACTGCTTGGAGGTGCCACAAAACTGTGAGCCTGCTAACAAAACCATGAGCCTGCAAACAAAACCGTGGGCCTGCAAACCTTGTGTCGTGCCCCTCGGCGGGCCTACACAGGGTTAGCGTGGAGCTCAAAGAGTTAAAGATGTAAAGAACTAAAACCCTCTGCTACACGTGGGCTTAATACACTTGGCCTGCACAGGGTTAGCGTGGAGCTCAAAGAGTTAAAGATGTAAAGAACTAAAACCCTCTGCTACACGTGGGCTTAATACACTTGGCCGTTACTTTGAGTGAAGAGTGGAAATATGAATGATTTGTGTGTGTGTGTGTGCGCACGTGCTTTTCTTTATTTTCCATGTTTTCTGCAGTTGACATGTTATTTTGTTATCTCTATATATATCTATATTATTCTATATACTCTACCTATTATACATTATAGACAGAGAAACAGACAAAACTCATTCAACATAAAAAACTGGGGGGAAGGGGTCCTAGGGAGGCTCCCATTTAACAGGTAGGGAAAATGAGATCTTGCACTCTTACATTGCCTAGCAGAATAAGCACTCAAATATTTATGGATGTGGTTGAGTGCTACATATTTATCTCAATACTAATAATGTTGACAGTAGCAACCAATACCAGATTCATTTGAGCTACACAACTAGGTGGTGACCAAGTAATTTATGTATTGACCTATTAGGACATAGCATGTTTTCATGTGTTAATATCAGATTAATGTGAGGACTTGCAAGAACATCTGATGGCTGCATGGTAGCTGAAATCCTCAGGAAGTAAGCTGAATGCCAAATAATAGACCTTCTGATCACATGCTTAAGATTCAAGATGTAGAAGAAAACCCCAAAGGAACATTTATAACATCCAGCTGAGTGACTAAAGAGCGTGCCCTAGTGCACCAAACTCTTGTGACAAGGTTTTCTTAAAGGAACAAAAAAATCTCCACCTTGATTTGTGTCCTATAGTGGAGTTGTTTCCCAAATCAGGCTGTTTCAAAGAACATATGAGACAGCGTATGGCTAGCCCTCCCATCCCAAAGCAAATGTTTGTTTTGTTGCAGTGATGGAAACATTTCCATTGGTGAAGCAAATATTTAGAGCTGAAAGAAACATTTGGGCAGCCAGGATGTGTCAAAATAGAACAGATGTCTGCCTTTTAAAAACACATTAAAAAAAAAAGCCACCTTGTACTTGGCTGCTGTGGTCGCAGCCACAATGGGTTAAGCAAGAAGTTAGAAATTGTGGACGTCTTTCTGTTATAATCCCAGCTCCTAGGCTTGGCTTTGTATCTTTTTCTGTCTTGGTTTTTCTCTTCCAGAAAATGGGGTTAACCATTGTAAGTGATTTTGTTAAGGATCAAGTCTGGTTGGTTCGTTCGTTTTCCCCAAATATTTTCTTTGTTCTTAAATTTATCTATTTGAATCAGAAATCTATTAACAGGGAACAAAATTCATAAGGCTATGCAGTGAAAAGTGTTCTTCAATCTCTCTGTTTGCCAGTGACTAGACTAGTCCTCTCTATAACCAGTGTTACCAGTTTCCTGTCCTCCTTTTCTTTCAGGTATATACACACTCTGTGTGTGTGTGTGTGTGTGTGTGTGTGTGTGTGTGTAGACTTCTCTGTACCCTTCACCTAGTTTTCCCCAGTGCTCCCGATGTTGTGTGTGTGTGTGTGTGTGTGTGTGTGTGTGTGTAGACTTCTCTGTACCCTTCACCTAGTTTTCCCCAGTGCTCCCGATGTTCTCTTTGGCTTTCTTCTTTCGGGGGTGTTGACTCTGAGAGTTTGCTTATTTAAAATATGCAGACTGTGTCAAGTCGCACAGGGCAGCAGGTGTGTCAGGCTGCCCATGCTCCCTGCCCCCTGCCCCTGCCCAGCACAGAGAGCCCCGTGTGGGAATCCAGTTCTGGGGCTCACACGGGCTGTGGGCAAGTCCCTGCCCCCTCTCTCTGTCCCTTTTTCTTGATCTATAAAACAGAAGGAAGAAAAGGAAAAGAACAGGAGAGAAGTCAGATAAACTCCAATTTTTCTTGTAGTTCTGAATTTCTTTCTTTGGTTGTCAAAGGCAAGTTGATTCCTTTTTTTAAACCACCCTTCATGACCTCTTCTGAAACAGGAGCAAGATTTAAGTATCACTAAGTGTTTGTCAGTTTGACTTTTCCACGCATGCACAAACATACGTTTGGCTTACTTGGCATTTAAGGAGCAGAGATTCCTGATTACCATCCGCTTGGTCTTTAGGGACACAGTTTCTTCCCTAGGACCTACTCAGTATACTGTGGGAAGGGCTGACTTCTCTACCTGATGCCAAAGACCTGCTGTCTGTGGCAGCCACAACTATATTAATAACCATTATAACTATGTATTAACTGCTATTAATCCTCTGGAATTGATCAAATATCGAAAATAACGTCTCTTTGTTTTTGTTTCTAACTTAGCAGAGAGGGATTAAAAGAAAAAAGAAAAAAAAATCCTTTAGATTATGTAGATCTAAAAATAGACATCATGGATGCTGATTGGAAACCCTCCCAGTCTTTCATATGAGAGATCTCAATTTGTGTTACACAGAGGGGCAGCTCACTTCTGTCTTGTTCACCAGTTATACTACTCCCCAGAGAAGCTCAATAAATTTTATAGGAAAGTTTCCTCCTTATGCGGAAGGAGCTAAGCTCAATGACTGGTGTGTCTGATATAATTTAGGGCTCCAAGGGAGTACGTCTGCCTTGTGGAATAACCTATCAAAAGTAAATGTACAGAAACTTTCGATCTTGGTTGATTTGGCTGTGTCACTGAAACTGCTGAGCACTGGACGCCGTGAACCCAGCCTGTCTGCTTTGGAATTAAACTGCTCCCCCAAACTCGCATTTAATTCGCTGCTCAAATGGCCTTCTGTGTGTTTCACTGGTAGTGGCTCCTGAGCTTGCCTGCTGTTGTTGCATGGTTTCCACCACTAGCCCTTTGAAACCTCCAAACTTGGACTTGGTTGAGTTTTTACATCCCTCTTTGCCTCTTCTGTTGACATTAGGACAGCAGACCTGCCTTCTCTTTAGGCTTCCAGTGGAACAAACCTGCCAGTTTCTCAGTCTTCCAGCTAGCAGTGAAAGACATTTTGCACTGGCCTTTTTACTCAGTGATTTACACTGGGAGACGTGGCTGGGTGATATCCAGTGTCCTTTTGTCTTTGTGTTTATTTTTCTTCCACATTTAATGTATTTAAAGGATATATTGTCTTTATGGTTCACTGGGATAAGGAGGGATTGGTGCAAGTTTTAATGAGAGGTGCCCCAGCTCTCTGTGTTGAGCTGAGAATTATCTTCTTGGTTAGATATCTTTCTTTCTTTCCTTAAGTGGCAGGAGGCAGTGTTTTGCTGCTTTTTGAAATACTGTTTCTGCCTAACGATTTCTAGAAGGATACCGAGAGGACATTCAGCTTCAGGACATCATCAGCAACTTTTTCTCCTGTTGTTTGAACTTCCCTCATTTAAGGAGAGGGAAAACTCTCAGGTCTTGTTCTTGAATTTACATATCAATATTAAGATGACGGGAACCAGCCCCCCGCCACTCCCCATCAGATCAATTCTTAGAAAAACTCTTTCATTCAGGGTAATGACATTTGGAACTAGTTTTCTCAGAAACTGTTTTCACTGCTTGAGAATAGTTAATCAGTGGAGGAAAAAGTGTTTGGCTTATTTGCTTAATATTTTAACCAAGTGAATTAGACAGGTTGGGGGGCTGGGGGAGGGGATAAGAAAGTGGGTGGGGGAGGCCCCATAAACAAGGTGATATATAATATTTTTTTTGTTCTCCTTTTAAATAAATACCGATCAGCTTTATGTTCAGAGACAATAGGAGCCGTTGGCTTAAATTTGCAGTTTACTGTATTTATGGCTGTAATATCAAGGTGCTGCCGTCGTAATTTCATGCCCCAATGAGAAGAGCAAGGTCGAAGCAAATGCTTCCATCGGCATCTGCTAACACACTAACTCATAAACAAGGCCCGGCTGGATCAGGTGGCACGGAATAATACAGGCTAATGAAATACAGCACAGCTTTCCATTACTGTTAGTTTTTACAGTGTCGTCATTACGTGTAATTTATGTTTAAAAAATTCAATTTTATACAAGGCACTGGGAAATAGGGGTCTCCAGGTCATCCCACGACTTTTAGAGGCTCTGAGAGTCCTTATTGTACTCTACTGTTCCAACAAAATGTTCATAAAGTAAAATAAAAATACCCTTTTCCCCTTCCCCTCCCTGAACCTTTTCTGAGAGAGTTGATTTTTTCTTTTAATTTGGGGAGTATTTTTAGCCAACTGTCTTCTCTGCCTCATCTCCTGCCAGAGTGTGCCGGGGCAGATAACTTAGTTGTTCTGAGAGAGGTGACCCCCTCTCAGTGTCTGTGAGTCCCAGATGAATTGGCCAAGTCCTAGAAATAGAGGGGCTGTAGAGCGGGGAGGAAGAGGTCTCAGTGACCAGCCCTTGACTGCCACCCTTTGCTGCTGGCCCCTTGGCCCTGTTCCCATGATCCCAGTCAGACGCCACATTTTTATAATAAAACTAGGGCTGAGCAGGAAGGCGCTGGCAGGAGTTCATTACCTTGCTTATTTTCAAACTCTTCCTAACCCTTCTGTCCTGGTTGTTGTTTGACCTGAAAGATGAAGAGAACACTGCTGTCTTCTGTCATCTGTCTTTCTGCTTCACCTGCATAGGGCCAGGCCGCGTGGCAGTGCCCAGCGGTCACTGGGGACAGTGCTGAGGTTACTTATCCTGAGAAACCCTTGCACGGCCTGTCCCGCAGAGAAAAGACAGCCCTTCCGGGTCCCTGGTTTGAGTCGTGGGAAAGGACCCTAGGGCATCACAATCACAGCCAGTACCGTGCAGCTCACAAAGTCAATCAGTTTGGTTTTGTTTGCATTTGAACAGAAACCTTGAGAAAAAGAAAGCAAATTTGTTTATCTTCTAGGGGATAAAAAAAGGCAAATATGGCAGCCCTGCGGCCATGCAGGTCAGACACTGCAGCAGTGACACCGGGCTTTTATTAATCAATAGATGTAGCTCTCTTGTTCTGTCCTTTGAAAAAAAGCCCACCCTGGAGAAGAGATGCTTGGCCCAGCTCCTACACAAGGGCAGGAGTCATCTCCTGGTCCGGGGAGCTCTTCCAGAGGTTTTTGCCAGTAGATTCTAGAGAACTGAGAGAACAAGAAGTCCGCCCCTACTCTGGGCACATGGAATCCTCCTTCAGAGAGTTTGGTTTGAATTGAGAGCTCTCAGTTTTGCGTATCAGGCGTCTGTGATGTGAAAAGATGAAGTGGCCTCTTTACCTGTCAGAATCAGCCCACACCCTCTTCGCCTCCCCTCCTCTCAGAGAAGCTCCCTCGTCCCTTTCTCGTTCTTCTGACAGAGCTAGTGAGTGGAGAGAGTAACTGAATGGGAATTTCTTAGTGTTATTCTCTATCAATAATAAATTTTAATTGTCAGTGCTGTAGACTGGGTGGCTGGGGGTTGGGGAGCTGGTAGCTCTTGAAAATCACCAAGTGGCAGAAAAGAAGTTATAGGAAGACCATCTAAAGGCTTGGTGCTAGTGGTATCAGGTAATGCATATTGATGCCTCAACTAAAAGAACATTTGGGGCTTTATGAAAATTGACAATTCTTCCAAAGGTAGCAGCTAAAGGAAGACTTAGATGAATAGAGGAGGGAGGAGGCTTGCAGGATGGCGAAGCCCTTTGCTTCCAGCTCTCTGCCTGCTCAGCCATTGCTCCGTCCCTCTGTGGTTAGATTATTCCTCGCAGATAGCAATCAACTGGAAGGAAGTGTGTGTGTCTAATTTGCATGAGATTATTTAAAACAAACAAAAAAAAAAGGTCTGCATTAGTCAGGGTAATGGTAAACAACGCAAAGAGAGATGCCTTTTATAATATAGCCTGTGCCTCAGCTTTCAGAGCCAAATATAATTCACTTACAATTGGCAGTTTCCTTTATTATTCCTTTTAACCTTTTGGATTCTGCAAGGTCTCAATCTAAGCTCAGCAGTTTGTCTTGGCAGGGGTGGGAAGGATGGGGCTAGGGCACCTGGATGTCCTATGTTGGCTCCATGGCAGCACTTTGACCCTGAGGGCGGGGTCATCACAGCACCAAGAGCCAATGACTGGGCAGATAACTAGTTGTGATCTGGAGACAGGTGGGTGTTCCCACTCAGTCTCCCTAAGTTCCAAATGAATCACCTGAGTCCTGTAAATGCAGTCCTGAAGCCGGCCAGCTCTGCCTAAGGTGGGGACATTCCAGAGGAAGATGACACCCAGGGAAGTCTGTGACAGGCATTTGGACTTGATTTGGGGTTAGAATATTAGAACGAGAACAAGACGAGGACATTCTATCTTTTCACTCTAGTATTGTTCAAAAAGCTGTCCAGGTATCATTTACAGATAGGAGCCAGGGGTTAAGTTCCTGTGTTGTTTCAATGTAGCCCCAAAACAATATTCACTGACTCCTTCCTGTAGATGAGAGTGGCGGGGTAGGGAGAAGAAAATGTAATCCTTCTGTGAAGCTCTTTAACAAGACTGAAGACTTAGGACATAGTTTGAATCTGTCATTTGATGTTTTGTAACTCTGGTGTAGTGGAAAGTCACTGGGCTGAAGAGGGAGAGCCTTGAGTGCCCATCGCATCACCACTCTCTACAAGTAGGATGTGGGGCATCGTTTTTACCCTCCTTGGGCCTCAGGTTTCTTATCTGTTAAATAAGGGCAGTGACCAGGATAATGGCCCGGCTCTGAATATGATTCAGTGAGATTGTTAAAATGCTTATTTTTTAAAAGAAGAGAAAGGATTCATTTACCATAACTAAATCAAAATCCTGACTCTTCCAGAGAACCAGGGATATCAGAATTTCAGCCAATATAAATTTTGAGCCTCAAATGATAAGGTCTCTGAAAAACAAGAGCTTGGAAGGAAGTACTGATGCCCTTTCAACTGTGGTCTCACTAGTGGGCTTGGCTGCGATAATGCAAGGAACATGTTTTATTAGGAAAATAGGCTTCATAAAAGCTCAGGGCCAGAGGGCAGAACTACGGGCAGGGAGTCCTGTCCCTTTAACCAGCTCCGGCTCTCAGGGCCGCAGCACAGCCTGTAGCTTACTGTATATTTCCCCAGTGTTAAACATTATTGTACTTGTTTATATTTGAAAGAGCCAAAAGGGAAAATGAGAATGCAACTGAATGCTCCTTTTGGGAAAATTATCCTCATTTGCAGCCAGCGGCTGACAAGGCACACGAACCACCAGGTTTATAAAATTCCGTAGTGTACCAGTGACCATCAGCCTGTGCTGACATCGCAGATGCTGCCTGCTTCTCTAATGGCTGATTATGAACTGGTTAAAACAATGTCTTTCCCACTAGGGCTCCAAAAGGGGTTCCCCTTCTTATTCAGTAGGAGCGATCGGCAGTCACTACACAAGCTGGAACCCGACAGGCACAAACTCAGGGTGGGTGTATTCTCTGTTGTTGCCTGGTGTGCCTGTTGGTCCCGTCCCTGTTCTTCTCGGGAGGTGAAATTATGGGTAAAGCAGTCCCTTTGCAGCAAGCACCCCCTCTCTAGCTCCACTGTACTGATGTTCAGCTTTTGTCTTTGGAAGGTGGTACGTGATGCGCTATGAATCCTGGAAGCATTTTCATCCAGCCCACCAATCTTTTGAGAGCATGGTGCTATCAGGGCAACCCGGTGGCTCTTCAGACTTCCCAGTGGTGTGGCCATGCCTGCCCTTGGCCAGCTCCACTGTGTGAAGAGGGTAAAGAGGGGAACAGCTGCAGTTTTAAATGAGGACAGTCCTCAAATCCTCAGCACAGAGAAGGGAAAAAAGAGTCCAGAGGTGTTTAGAAAAGTTTGGGCATTTTCCTTTGACCGGCTGTGGTAGGGCATGAAAAGTTTGAGGGGTGGCTGTAGTCAACTCACATGCCAGTATGGTGCAGGGCAGAGCTGTGCTTTAAAGCATTAATCTGCACCATCTATTAGCCCCTAGGCACAGAGTATGAGGCACCATGCTTTTGAAGATGCTGATCCTCAGAACCTCCTTGTACTTCATCTACCCCCAGAGGCAAATATACCATGCTGTGGGCCTCTAATGGAGAGCTGCCGACCAGATGTGGAAAAGCTCTCGGCTCTAGTTTAAAAGCTCTGTGTTGCGGCTCGCTTGGATGTTCGGATTCCCGGAACAGCACGGGCCGGCCGAGTGGTCTTTTGCAGGCTAGCAGTGACCTCCCACCTGCTTTTCCCACTCTCAGCAGCTGCAGCGCCTCTGTACATATAGCTACTTCCTGAGCTGGCCCCGTGCGACCACTCCTTTCATACTTCAGCGCCACATTCCGTTCTGTTCTTTGGGTGGCTTGGGGCTCTCTTCCTCCTCCCAAGAGTCAGTGTCCCAAATTGGCTCAGACCCGGTGGAAATATCCCAGCTGTGTCCTCACTGGAAATGCGGCCTTCATGGGTTTTCATTTGCCTTTTATTCTTCTGTGGGCAAATCCTCTCCCCATGGCATAGCCACTGCAGATGGCGCCCTGCTACTTCCTGATGTCCCATGTATGGTGTGGTTTAGAGTGTTGGGAGGATTTTAAAAAGGGAAAAGAAAAACTAGCCAAAGGCAATACAGGCAGCGTATGATAGGCTAGAGTAATAATCATCTGAAAGTTTGGGCCTGGCCTTGTTTTGATCTGTTTTCTTGTTTTATTTTCTTCTTTACATTCTATATCCCATTCATACTAATCACAGTCAGTCCTGATTTTTCTTTTTATTTCTGCATTTGTCATAAAATAAAGCAAATTATTCCCGTCTTCAGAAACGATCTAGACTAATTAGTCGTCTCACCCAATAATTAGTTTTTTGTTTCCCTGTCTGTTTTCATGCATTATTGTTAGTTTTTTCCCCTCTTTTTTTTAACACCATTACAGATTAAAATGAGCCACATTTGCAGTTGATGGTATCTGTTTTCGGGGGAAGAATGGAGAATTGCAGTACGGAGCGACTTCAAAAGCAGCAATAAACTCAAGGATAAATTAAGGAAATTGAATGAGCCACATTTGGAAGCAGTGTTGAGGCTAATATTCTGTCGCTTAAGGTTAAATTGCAACTCAGAGAGGTTCCGGAGAATCTGAAATCGGGGAGGCAACTTACTAGGATGCGAGGCATTCTGTGGCTGTAAAGGTCTTTGCTCAGTGAAGATTCTGTTGCAGCTATGGACACTGGCAAAAGGTACTCACCTGCAATGATGTCCTCTTCTCCCCAGGACTGACAGATGAAGAGATTGATATGGCCTTCCAGCAGTCGGGCACTGCTGCCGATGAGCCTTCGTCCTTGGGCCCAGCCACACAGGTGGTTCCTGTCCAGCCCCCTCACCTCATATCTCAGCCATACAGTAAGTCACCCGCTCAAACTCCTGCTTAACCTTCATTGGGATTCAGGACTCTGGCCAAAGGGCAGTGTTTTGTATCTCCCAGACTTAGCAAACCGGGAGAAACTGGGAGCAGCAGAAAGCTCTTGGGTTTTTCCCAAGGAATGTGACACACCTCAGTCTTCTAGACAAACTTTTTAAAATATGTGACAAAGGTTTAAGAAGAGACAAGGGATCAGAATAAATGATTTTATTGTTGTTTCAGGTATTTTGGTTACATGCAGAAAACCTGTACAACTATTTATTGATTCTGTTCCCATCTCCTCATACCATTGCTTTTGAATGTTACTGTTTCACTAAAAACAATGTGAACATCTGACTCATGGGTGCATTCTTGTTTGCTCACTGCAATAACCTGTCTCCCAATTTTATTTTTTTAAGTTAATATTTGTAAGTTTAGGTCAGCCTCCATTTCCCTCCCTCCTTTGTCCTGGCTATACCTTGTACATTCATGTAGTAGCAGTCTGTTAGGGAATTTCAGGTTAAAACATAAAGGTCCTTTTTGAATGTTGCTTTTAATTATTATATGAGATCATGACCCAAGAGGGGTCTTCCGTTGTTCTTAAATGAAAGCTACTATAGGAATAAAGTTTCTTCAAGCGAGTTATAAATGTATACCTCCAAAATGCAGCCAGAAGCCCCCCTTGAAATCACTTATAAAAAGTTTAAAAAGGCTAAAATTGACTACAAAGCTATGGAAAATAGCTCCATTTTGTTTCTTTAATGAAACTCAGCATTGGGCTGGGCACAGTGGCTCACACCTGTAATCCCTGCACTTTGGGAGGCTGAGGTGGGCAGATCACCTGAGGTCAGGAGTTCGAAACCAACCTGGCCAACATGATGAAACCCTGTCTCTACTAAAAATACAAAAAATTAGCCAGATGTGGTGGCAGGCGCCTGTAATCCCAGCTACTCAGGAGGCTGAGGAAGGAGAATTGTTTGAACCCGGGAGGTGGAGGTTGCAGTGAGCTGAGATCGTGCCACCGCACTCCAGCCTGGGCAACAAGAGTGAAACTCTGTCTCAAGGCTGGGCGCGGTGGCTCAAGCCTGTAATCCCAGCACTTTGGGAGGCCGAGACGGGCGGATCACAAGGTCAGGAGATCGAGACCATCCTGGTTGACACGGTGAAACCCTGTCTCTACTAAAAAATACAAAAAAAAAAAAAAACTAGCCGGGCGAGGTGGCGGGCGCCTGTAGTCCCAGCTACTCGGGAGGCTGAGGCAGGAGAATGGCGTGAACCCGGGAGGCGGAGCTTGCAGTGAGCCAAGATCACGCCACTGCACTCTAGCCTGGGCGGCAGAGCGAGACTCTGTCTCAAAAAAAAAAAAAAAAAAAAAAAGAAACTCTGTCTCAAAAAAACAAACAGGCCGGGCATGGTGGCTCACACCTGTAATCTCAGAACTTTGGGAGGCCAAGGCAGGCGGATCACTTTAGGTCAGGAGTTCGAAATGAGCCTGGCCAACGTGGTGAAACCCTGTCTCTACTAAAAATACAAAAAAATTAGCCAGGTGTGGTGGCGGGCGCCTGTGGTCCCAGCTACTTGGGAGGCTGAGGCAGGAGAATAGCGTGAACCCGGGAGGCAGAGCTTGCAGTGAGCTGAGATCGAGCCATTGCACTCCAGCCTGGGTGACAGAGCGAGACTCTGTCTCCAAAAAAAAAAAAATTAGCCATGCGTGGTGGCATGCGCCTGTAATCCCAGCTCCTCCAGGGGCAGAGGCAAGAGAATCACTTAAACCCAGGAGGCAGTGGTTGCAGTGAGCCACAATCACACCACTGCACTCCAGCCTAGGTGACAGAGTGAGACTCTGTCTATAAATAAATAAATAAATAAACAAACTCAGCATTGGATCTGTAATCTCTCAAAATGCCTTTTCTATAATTGTCATTTTAATTGTTATTCCCAGAAGTTTTATTTTTTCAAAAAATGATTTAAAACTGTTAGATATCGGATTTTAAGGCCAGGCGTGGTGGTTCATGCCTGTAATCCCAGCACTTTGGGAGGCAGGCAGATCATGAGGTCAGGAGTTCAAGACCAGCCTGGGCAACATGAGCGAAACTCCGTCTCAAACAAACAAGCCGGGCACGGTGGCTCACGCCTGTAATCCTGGCACTTTGAGAGGCCAAGGCAGGCAGATCACTTGAGGTCAGGAGTTCGAGACCAGCCTGGCCAACGTGGTGAAACCCTGTCTGTACTAAAAATACAAAACATTAGCTGGGCATGGTAGCAGGCGCCTGTAATCCCAGCTCCTCGGGGGGCTGAGGCAGGAGAACTGCTTGAACCCAGGAGGCGGAGGTTGCAGTGAGCCAAAATTGCGCCACTGCACTCTAGCCTAGGTGACAGAGCGAGACTCTGTCTCACAAAAAAAAAAAAAAGAAAAAAAACTCAACATTGGATCTGTAATCTTTCAAAATGCCCTTTCTGTAATTGTCATTTTAATTATTATTCTCAGAAGTTATATTTTTTCAAAAAATGATTTAAAACTGTTAGATATCAAATTTTAAGGCTGGGCGCGGTGGCTCATGCCAGTAATCCCAGCACTTTGGGAAGCCAAGGCGGGCGGATCGTGAGGTCGGGAATTCGAGACCAGCCTGGGCAACAAGAGCGAAACTCCATCTCAAAAAACAAACAGGCCGGGTGCGGTGGCTCACACCTGTAATCCCAGCACTTTGGGAGGCCAAGGCAGGGAGATCACTTGAGGTCAGGAGTTCGAGACCAGCCTGGCCAACGTGGCAAAACCCCGTCTCTGATAAAAATACAAAAATTAGCCAGGCGTGGTGGCAGGTGTCTGTCTTCCCAGCTACTCAGGAGGCTGAGGCAGGAGAATCGCTTGAACCCAGGAGACGGAGGTTGCAGTGAGCCGAGATCATGCCATCGCACTCTAGCCTGGGCGACAAGAGCAAGACTCTGTCTACAAAAAAGTGTTAGATATCAGATTTTAAAAGGCATATTTTAAAATGACAGATTTGTTTTGATCCCCCAGCACCTGGTCTGAAGCTACCTTCTTTCCCTCACCTCAGCACTCCTTTCTTCCAGCTCAGCTGCAACCAGGCAGGTGTGATCTTGGCGGTAGAGCCAAAAAGGCCTTCCCTTCTCCAGACTTGCTGAAGAGCCAGCCAGTGGGTTGGAATCTGCTGTCTGTGTTACGGATCTTATTTAGAAATCTCCTCCTTTGGCTGTCCGCATAAGGCTGAATGGGGGAGGCCAGGGAGTGTGTGCTCAAGTGTGTCAGTCTGTCAGTGCCTTGCCTGGGTGACCCACTGCAGGGAGTGGTGAGCCTTGTCCTGTATTCGGGCTACTGGGTTAGCACCTGTGACTTGTCAGCTTGGGGCTCCTTTCTCCTTCCTGGCCAGCATTTTTTCCAATCCATTATAGTTGCTTTGGGTTCTAAGCTGACTTTATGTGCTTCTTTTTAACCAAAGGCTGAGTCTCCACACTTTTTCTTTAGTTGTGTCCCTGGGCCCAGCCATGTAATGGGATTTGTTGATGATAGGCAGTGGCAGCTGGGGTGCAGAATTTTCTAAGATGCACATCTGTTCTATTCCAGCTGTTTCCTCCAGTGGCTTAATACAGAACAGGTCTCTCGGCTACTTGGAAACTTCTTACTCAGAACAAATTGTTCCGGTCGATCACAGAGTTGGCCTAAAACGTCATGTGTTCACCTACTTTCCATAGACACAAAGGGTTAAACTGCTAGTCTTTCTGAAAGAGGCAAAAGAATGGGATGGGGAGGGGCAGTTCAGTCATTTAAATCATTCTCATGTCCAGATCGTTCTGAGAAAAAGCATTACACGTTGAGGTATATAGGTAGGAATATTTTTAAGAGCCTCCCAGCCCTAAAAATAAAATACCTGTTTTTAGACACAGACTCCTTCCTGCTTTGACACTAGTGTAAAAACAATGGTAATGATAATTTTAAATACCTGAAGTTTTTAGTTGTCGTCACTGAGCTTCATTCTTCTCGTCCCGTTACACTGCTCTTCTCAGCTCCGGGGGTCACTCTACCTCTTCACTTTTGTACTTTTGCCAAGAGGTGTCAAAACTGCTTAAAAAAAAAAAAAGCTTGATTTTGATTAATATAGAGAAACAAGACTTTGCCTGACTGATAATAAAACTGATAAATGACATTTGAATTACTTGTAGCGGTAATTTATTACATAAAATATCTTTTATTTGACATGCGATTAGTTGCTGGAAGCATCACTCAATCTGACTAGTTTAAACATGCTCTAAAATGAACCCCAGTAAAAACCAGGGCTGTCTGCTGCTGGCGTTATGAAATATACTAATCCTGGAGTGAGGGAAAAATCTGACTTTAAATATTTAAATGATTAATTGGGTTTATATATTTTTTTTACCTTTCTAACCCCCTTAATTACAAGCAAACTCAGGGGAGTTTCTGAACTAGGTGCGCAGTCTGCATGCTTATCACTGAGGCATTGTCTGCGTCTGGGAGGGATTTATGGCCTCCGTTCATGTGTGTTCCTGCCGATTTTACATCTAGATCCCCAGCAGCCCTTTCCTTCCCATTTCTTGGCTTTTTACGGACATTCCATCTCTGAGCCCAAGCCTAGAAAATGGGATCCCCTGGGCCTAGCCCCAAACACTCAGGTCTCAGGGTAGGGTGGCTTTTCCAAGACCACCCCAGGGAGCCCAGTGCTCTTCACCTTTGAACTTGCTGGCCCACCTGCTCAGTGGCAGGTGTGCCACTGGATGCCTTTTTTGGCATCTCTGTTCTTTGGTGAATGTGGTTGACTTTGAGATGTTGGCAAATGCCAGTGTTGGCAGAGAGAATGTAGAGACCTGCCCGAATAGTAACAGTTCAATTTCTCAGTATTTTTATTAACGGTCTACTATACGCTCAGTACGGTATCATGCGAGAGATCCAAAACCTGATCTTTAAGCATCTTGCCAGCTCTTTGGGAAAGATAAGATAAACTCTTCAGAAAAGGATAATAATATAAGATGTTGTGATTTAATGCCAAAATTAATTATACAGACAAGAAATTCTGAAATTCTGAAATACAAAAAA